ACTTTCGTCCGTCATAACTGTCGAGAATAGCGTCCACACAGTGACCAGGAATATGCCGGAATGAGGCTGTTTCGTCAGGTCATCGCCTCCAAGGGACGCGTGACCTGACACGCCTATTTCGTAACCGTAGGATATGCCCTCGTTAGCCTGCGCAAAACAACGCTTTTCGACCGGACAATGTCCATTTCGTTATCTTTTATCGTGAGCACCTCTTGAAATCCTTTTCTTTCTTTTTAGCTGCTATTCGGTCAGTTGTCTACTGAATTCTCAATGGCTGCTTTCAGACTTCAAAGACGCAACCGACAAGCGTGCGCGTCCGACTTACTGTATTGCTGGCTATGTATTGACAACATTGGACGCCGATAGATCACGCGTCAGTGTTGTCAACAAGTGGCTAGCGCCACTGTCGGTTGCGTCGTTGAAGTCTGAAGGCAGCCAATGGTACTCTCAGCTCGGTCTTGGCCAGTTAGAACGCATAGCGGTGAAGCTCGATTCTCCATTGCTCTGCAGTAGAGTCAAATTTTCTTCATTGTTTTCCCCATGCTGGCGTATTGAAGCCAAGCTTTTTATACTATTTTATTTGACCCCCCGTTCAGTTCGTGTAAGTATACACCATGAGTGAGATCCTTGGTGTTGGATAGCCTTATCGACAATATATCCAAAAAAGTAGTTTTAATTAGGCTTCAGAACTGTGGAAAAAAAGTTTCTCTATACAATTCCTTCCATACGACACCTCGTCGCTAAACAGGAATCGTAATCTCATTGTATAATCAAACAACACCTCACTTGAAACCTTCCCTCTCATCCCCGTCAGAGTCAAATGTGCCTCATGAAAACCATTCTTCGGTAAATCTCCATTTTCAGCGTTTCTTTGAGGAAGTATTGCAAAAATTGACTTGTTACTGTACCGCAGGGAATTCTGTTATGGTAATAGTGTAGGGTTAAGTGGGTTTCAGGCGCTCGATGCTATGGAAAAGTTTCATGCAATATCTAATCGAGCTCGTGTATCGCGTAAAGTCGTCCGCCGTATTCGATTATATGATCATTCACCAACTAGGACGAGTTATCTCAAAATCACACACCATTTTAGGGTATGCCGGAGCACCAGAACCTATACCGATATGTTGCAATCGCAACCGCTGTAGGAGTTTCCGCGGCCGGTTTGTACTATTTGATATGGCACAGGTCGAACTCGGTAAGATTTTCATATTGTGTTTAGTGCCCAATCTAGTATCTACTACAATGCATGAAATGTTTACTACCAGTTATCTCCTCTAGCCAAAATGTCAGTACAGAGTTTGCACAGGAAATTGAATTAGTCGTCTTCAAATGTTTGGCGATCTTTGCTGTTTTATATCTTAGCACTTATAAGAAAGATTTTCCCTTGAGAGAAAGATTGGGTGAGCCTCAGGTTATCTTTGAATCACTAGTTTTGGCAAAGTTCCAATATCTGACTTCATGGTTTAATTCAGATGTAGTTGCTAAGATCTTACTGCTTTCGATTTCACCGAACTATTTTATTGGATATACATCAAGAATAATGCTGCCGTTTAAAATTTCCATGGCCGCTTTTTGCTGCATTGTAGTTGGATTACTCTTTTGTGTAGACGAGGTGGTTGTCCACGAATTTACTTAAAATGATTTACATCTCTGATGTGAACTCCATATCAGTTGAAGCTCGGGCCCTTTGAATCTACCATACTGTAACTTTCATGTACTGCTTTTTATGGACCTCGACATATACAAAATGTCGTCCTGATAAAGCTTACATAAGAGTTGAAATAATAATAAAGCTCACTTTCTCAGTAATATGTCGTCGTAGAACTGATTTGTCACGACGCATATTGGACCCACCCTGGTAGAGTGCCCGTGTCACTGCGACAACGGCAACTTTTCATTTTTAGCCAGTATGGTGGCGAAGTGAAGAAGTTTCACAAATGTGCCATTAATTTCTCAAATTTTGTTGTCCTATTCGTGGTATCAACACTTTTTGTATTGTTTGCTTTGGCTATTACTATGTCATTTCTTTATTTATTGCTTTGTAGTTATAGTTCGCATTTATGATATAACTCATAGAATTTCCTTGTTATCTGGTAGGTTTCATTTCTTCTTTCATTCCAGAAGAAAAAGAGCTTGTCGGTGAAGGAATTGAAGGATTTGGGTAACAAACTGTTCGCCGCAAAGAAATATGCAGACTCAATTCGTGTGAGTCCATTTCAAAACATTTCTATCAATTTCTGTGTTTTCCCGAAGTTTTTTTTTTCATTTCGACGTCTTTTCATGTCAACTATGCAACTGTTTTCGAATTCATTAGCCTCTTTTACTCCGCCTTTGATATTGTTTGTTATGCAGCACGCATTCAACTATATTTCGGAATCGTAGTCTCATTTGGACGGAGGTTTACTGTACATAGCAATCTTATGGATGTGCCTACGCACATGGAGTTTTTCGATTCGGTACTACTAGAAAACTGATCGCGGAAGTTTGGGTCTTCTATAATTCTGGTAGATTCACTGATGTGTTCGAATCGCGCAGAAGAAGTCTGGCCATGACGATGGTGGACGTCCTGGCGTTCCTTCGACCCCCGGCAAATCCAGTCGGTACCCACCCTGGTCTTTCGTAGAGTCCGAAACTTGTAGAGTAGAGTAGAAAGGGTGGCAGGGAGGTAAACGGGCTACTCACCCTTGGTGCCTCATAGTGTTAGGTATCAGGGAATTATTAAGGGAACAAAGCAACTCTTATGGCACAAAACAGGATGGGACAGAGTCGTGGTTCAAGAGAAGACTTTCGGGTTTCTTGTGCTGCAGTGGCTCAAATGAAATGAACATAGGATGGTAATGTAATGACATAGTACTGAAGTACTTATTGTTGGCAGGTTCTCTATGACCCATGTGGTTGGTGATGATCTTCTGCAGACGCCTCGGGAAAAATAGATCACAAGCCACGGATACTCGATGTCATTTTCGTTCCATCCTCGGCGAAGGTGTCGAGACTCATGAAGAGTTGCAGAAGCTCTAGAGATGAAAATATCAGGGTGTCGTAATGCTATTTTGTACAGCCTGGTTTTGAGTGCGGGTCTGTCCTACAGAAACGTCCAGCCTAGATGGCCATAATGCTTTGTAGTCAAAGGGAGTACGCTGACTCCCCCAGACGTCGTGGCAAGTATTTTTCGTTTTGTTGTTGGTGACCGCTCCCACGATAAAGAGCATTTCCTCAGAAATGGTAGTACGGAGGTGATCCAATTTGTGTCCGACCAAGGAGGGCTCAGCATGTTTTTACACTTGTCACCTTATTCTTGTCATTATTCTCAGAAAAAATTCCTTTCGAAGACGAATGGGTATGAACTTGTCTCAAAAGATCTTCTCGAAATACTGATCGACGCGCCCTCACCCTTAGCCGTTGTTCGGGAGGACCTGTGGCCACCAAGAACAGCAAGTAAGACAATGCTGGCTCGAAAATCGACCTCGATAGGGCTTACGAAAGCTCTAAAACCGGCTTGGGTGACGTTTAACTCAAAGATGGCCGTGTTATGACGGCTTTGTTAAGGCTGCACCATTCGCAATGAGGCGTCAGGACGCCGATGAATAAATAGTGCGCTTAGGTGGAGGACCCCCAGATACAACCTCCTTTCCTGTTACTTTTTTAAACCTCTGTTCTTAAAATACGCCGATTTACGTGTTTTCTTCGCTATTTTTACAATAATCTACAGCACAATATCCACTACTTCACTTGAGCTAGATACCTCAGGATGGTGTAACTGTGCCTTTGACGAAATGTGGCGTTCTCATGCCTTCTCGATGCTTCTCCCGGAGCGGTCCCCAAGTGTACCGCGCTCTTGGGGAAGTTGAGTGATTCCGGAAGCAGTGTAGTGGAAATCCTGAGAGAGGGATTTTCCAATTTGGTCGAAATGAACTAAATTGCACAAAATTTGGCAGGATGGTTTTCAAACAATTCCGAGAACCAGAAACTGCATGGAAAAGTGTAAAACTTGTGCATTTTCTTGCGTAGTCCGAAGTGCTGGGTCAGTTATCCTGCGTCACCTTCTAAAGATGTGTTATTTAGATTTTCTCCAAGGCTATTGCTGCCGGCAGCTCCGATGATTGCGAGCTCCTCAAAGCAATGTGCTATCAGAATAGGGCTGCTGCAAAGGAGGTAGTTATTCCATATTAGACCTCAATCCAGTCGTCGTTTTCCTTTTTCCGATATTTTTGTGCTATTTTTTTGTAAGCCTCTTTACGATTCCTTAGCACCATGGTGGCTACAACGTGGATGACATGCTCAGTGATTGCGAACAAGCCTTGAATTGCAACCCCCGTTATGCCAAAGCATACTTCAGAAGGGCACGACTCCTGGAGATGAAGAAAGAACACATGCCTTCTCTTATAAGTGCGTGGAAAATTTGGATTGTAACCTGTAGATCTCTTCTGCTGCTCAGGATTACTCTTTGTAGGCCTGTTCTGTGCTACTCAGCTTGATCCGGCACTCGATACACACTCAAGTCAACTTCTGCCTGTTTTATTGGAGGAACTCGAAAAGAAAGCCCATCATGAATGGCTTGACGACACTTCCAGCCGTGGAAAAGTCAAGCATGTACGTCATGAAAAGGTCGGTTTTTATTTTACTTTTTTTGCAACTCTTCTAAAGGTGCGCATTAAATGCTTAGTACGAATGTTATGAGGGAATACAAAATTGAGATATGGTGCTTCTGTAGCTGGCGAGACGACTAGTAAGCCTTCAGGTGAACGTTGCGTTGGAGGTTGTGTAATCAGCCATCAAACATGCGTGGCGCATACCTCTTGCCTGGATGTTGTCGGGTTCGACTTCGGGGGACCGACGGCGTTGCTGGCCACGTGTTGACAGCGCAGAACAGATTGCGTTCAGTGCTGCGTGAGCGGTATCCATCGGTCCAGTGTTGTCAAAACGTGGACAGCAATGCCGTCGCTCGGCACGTCGTTAAACTCTGAAAGCACCCATCTGTTCCGCTAAGCTCCGCTTCCAATGATCCATGTACCTACGTTGTCTAAATGCAACGGGCCCCAAGCGGTGGTCGTTTCTGGTTTTCCTCACTCACACCCTGTGTCGCTGCGTCCCTGCTGTCAAGGAACTCGCATATCCATTGACATGAACTGCAGAAATTGAGCCGCATTTTGCACTTTTCCATAGATTTTTTTTTGCGAGAGCTTGCCAACTAAAACTGATGGACCACTGAAACACACTACATTATCGTGATCTCCGTCTTCAAATAAGCTCATCATTCAAGGTCTACAGTTGGCTATACAAGACCGTGATGGATGACTGTGTTCGTCGTGACGTTCTCACTTTGCAAATTTCAGACGATTCGTGAGTGTTTCTCTCTAAAACAATCCTTGTGTCCTTTTTTCTATTTCTCGTTTTAGCAGACTTTCCAGCTCACACAGCTTCATCGGCCTTTTCTCTATTTGAGCATCAAACAAAGTTGACAATGAACTGATCGTGATTGAAAAATGCTGTAGAAGTGTTCAATGTGTTGAAGTTTCAGGCCGTACAAAAAAGCCATTGAGTTGATTCGTAAGAAGCAGTATGACGATGTCGCTGATCTTGCTGTGCAGCAAACTGGATCACATGAGATGGAAGCCCAGATCCTTGCCGCTCGTTTCTTCTTCTATCGCAACCAGATGGATCGCGTGAGTGATTTTGACAAAATAGTTTTTCATGCTGTACAATCCTTTATACGATGTAAAGTGATATTTGTTAAAGGCACAGCTCACGAGAATTCTGAGGTTCCCGTTTTTGTTCGAAAAGCGGAAGTATAGATTAGGAATAGTTCATGAAAGCGAAGGTTAGTGAAGAAAGCGAGTGAATTCGCCGATTCTGAGATGAATGTGGCTCCTCAAAAGTAGGGAAAATAGAGGTTGGACGAGCTTGCCATGACGGAAATAACATGAGAGGGGTATTCGGACGAGATTTCAGTTATTGCAATTGCACAAAGAGCTGACTACATTAAGCCAGGNCTGTACAGAACTGTTTTTCACTGTCGCTATGGGTCATGACAAGTTGTTTGAATTTCCCCCATGGATCCCCTTGTGATCGGTGCAGCCTCTACAATTCCGGTAAAACTCGTCCGACGGTACACACGGGCCAATCCTTGAGTCTTTAGAACTCCCTAACTAGGCCGTTTTCCGACCTAATAGTGCCAGATGTGGTATACGTGGGGGCCTCGAATTGTCCTGTGAGGAAATCTCAGAAATTCATATTTAACAGGACCAATCAATGTGTTTTCTACATTTTAATAATGTTTTTGTTCAGTATTCGACTTGCATTGATAAGTTTGATGTCTTGTTTGGGGCACTGCCTGAAGAAGAGAGGAAGGAGAAGGAAGATCTGTTCATCGCAAAACATATTCTTCTCATAGAGTCAGGTCGAACACCTCAGGAAATCAAGAAGTACGTTTCTACTTATCGTCACTGACGATAGTTTCTCGTTCTATCCTTTACAACTGCTTTAAACGTTGTGTGGGCGATATCAAATCTCAATTAGTCTTGCAATCTCACTCTTATTAGGCGACCACCATTCGCAATTTGGGTTGACTTGATGTTTTGTTAACAGCTGTTTTTTAACCGTCACGTAAGCTTTATAGTCGATGATTTATTGATGGCGATACTACCACATGCGTCTATTTCGCGTCTTGTCTGGTGCCTCCATGTACAGTAATGTTTCAGGAATTGCTGTGAGGAACTAGGGCTTCTACAGTATCTTATTTTATTCAGAGCATTCACAACTGCATCGGACGCGATACAGAAGAAATGTCCGGATTTTTATGTGATGGCCTCTTTCCGTTACGTCCTTTGCAATGAGATAACTGACGCAATGGAACTGCTCACAACTGAAGGAATGTCGACAACAAACATGAAGTAAGATTGCGATTTATGACAATTATTTTTGCAGTTGTTTATTTGTAATTGCGCTTTCAGGTTACTGCTTCTCACCTTACAAATATTGCGAAATGCCAATCGTGAGGATAACACTCCTGACATGGCTATGTTGCATGGCAACATTTTACAGTTGGAGAGTTTCGTCAACTCTCTGGATCCAAAGTCGGGTTATGCCTTATCGATTCTTGCAAAGGTTGTTTATCGCCTTCTTCCACGCCTATTTGCAAAGCTTTGTTTATATTTACATTTTTTAGACAGTAGCTTAGTTAGGGCACTCGGCTGTAAAAGTGACCTTACGAAGGACTTTATATTCACCTTATATACATTAACCTTATACTTACATTTTTTGGACAGTAGCGGTAATTTCGTTAGGGCAGTCGGCTGTAACAGTGACTTCACGAAGTAAAAACATCGAAAAAGACCTTAAGAAGGTCATGGGGTGGGTGGAGGTAGCTCGGGGTCGGCATTGCATCAGGGGAACTCTTTTGAATCAGGGCTCATAGCCTGGTTACTGTACGAGCTCGGTGACCGTACTGATTTTTCGCTTCTGCTTTTTAGAATACATTTCTAATTTTTAGATAACCGCAACGTTCAGCAGCGATGCCGCAGCCCGTAGCATTTCCGACGAAATTCTCAAGATGGAACCGACGGAATCCATTCATTACTTTGATCGGAGGTAGTTATTGATGAAATTCAGATAGCATTTTCTGAGTCTTCTGCGCAGTATGGGTCCCCTGTTTAGCTGTATGTCCGCGTCTGGGAAAGATGCAATGGAATACCTGGAAAAATGCATGGCAATTGAGCCATACCACCCTGAAGCCAACCTAATGTTCGCTAGCTTGATGATGAATGAGATTGGGTCAAGGGCAGTTACGCCGTGAGTTTCCTTTTTGTAGTAAATTCTCAAATTCGATTCAGTGTTTTTTATTGGACTTTCATTTTGTGGTTGGCAAATATGATTGATTAGTGGACAAATCACACGAATCAATTTACTTTATTACTATCAATACCTGCAGTTAGACGTATTGTAAGGTATCAATGATTTTCATTCACAGCGATGAGTACGAGAGAATCGACAAGCATATAGCCATATCATTGTCGACATTTGATGATAATATTGACTTCCCTGTCATTCTGGCCGTATTCCGTCTTCGTGAGGTACTGGCGGCGAAAAAAGAAGCTGCCTGTATTCTCTCTTTGAGTTGATTTGACTTGTGTGATTTCTGCTGCTTCCTGATGAAGGAGAATTAGTTTGTTTGGTATCATATTTGTTGTTGTACTGTATCTGATATTTTATCGTTCCTGAAACCGGTCTAGTTCCTTGTTGCTTGAGGCGTGTTTTCCTTCATTGTTTTTGATTTGTTCCTTTGATTCGATGAATATACATGCACTATTTCATCTTTTTCATGTGTACCTGTGAGAAAGTTAGATTACCTACTATTTGTTGCGTTTTGTTGAGAATACAGTGCTAGAATGTTTTTGAATGACTTCCGCCTACACGTGCCATCTGACTTGACACTTATTGTTGGCTTCGATAAGGATGTGCACTGTTATATGGTTGTACTCAACAGTTTCCTTTCTATATTCTATACCTATTGTGAACATGTTGCTTTTCGAGTGGTGTAAGTGTTTGCCCGACTTGCTGTATCAATGGGGCCATAACAAGGAATATCCCAGACTTTGAGTAGTTGAATTTGTTTGTACAGAATACGCAAAATAGTCTTTCCGCTTCCGACAGTTTGTGAGGTAATGAAATTAAGTACGAGCAAGTCCAAATATTTATATCTACGATATGAGTTGCTCGGCTGTTTGGTGCTAGGGTCGTTACTATTTTCGTTACGCTATGTTACACAAACAGGGGTTTGGTGCAGTAGGAACGAAATTGTCGCGTCGCGACGAGAGAGACGCCGCCCCAAAGAATTTAGCATGATGCAGCAGCAAGAGGGGAATTCAGGAACAAAAGAACTAACAGTAGGATCATACCACAAGTAATAATCGCATAGCGGTTGAGTTGTATGAAGAACGCTAGAACTGTTATAACGAGGCAAACGGTCCGCGACAGCCGCATGCGGCGGACCGATTACGCAGAACCGTTGCTACTGCCCGTCTCCCCACAAACAGTGGTCACCCGTGGACTTGATGGGGTGGGGATTGAATGTGTTAAACACTTTCCAGCAGAAATGCATGCATGCGGAGATTTGCCTGAAGTGTGAGCATAACGAAGTCATTCGCCTAAGCCAGCAACATCTTAGCTGGTTACAAAGAAAGTTCTTATGTTCTTATCTAAGCATTCACTTTTTCATTGCACCAGGACAACACTGCAATTTACTGAAGGCATTGTCTGTGATAAAAAAAGTTTCGGAGATTATCTCCTAGAATAAACCCTGCGGTCCCCAAGAATAGCATGTGGCAAAAAAAAAGACCTCAAAAGAGAGAAAGAAGAGAAAAAGAAAAAAAAGGCGTTGTAGGGGATTCATAGCCAGCTTGGCCGACGCACACACCCAAAAGTGACCGGTTTATGGCGGACTCGTTAAGGTTGCGCCCATCAACGATGAAGCGTTAGGAAGCTTCCGAATAGCACGCATATATTGGAGACGCTCAGACGGCTGCAGACTCAATCTCGTACGAACCCCTTTCTTACTACATTTTTTTTGAGAAATTATATATATATATATATGTATAAATCCGTCAATTTTTTTTTNTTTTTTTTTGCTTTCTTCACCCACCTCTGCACCTTTCTACACAATAAATTCCATTATTTCACTTAAGCTAGATAGCTCAGCATTAACGTGAACTGTGCCCTAAGGCAACATGTAACACATAGCTGAATGACCTATGACTGCTACATTGTCGATAATGCTCGCAGTCCCTTTGCGAGAATGAGGTCCAACTTTATCTACTTTTGCAGGAAAGTTAACGATTATTCGTTAAAGCTTCGCTCTATTAAATTTTGGGAAGATTCTGCGTGATGCCCCTATGAGTTTTCTTAATTGTATGCTCCCTGTGTGTAAGAAGCGGGGTAATTCCAAGAGACGCCGTTGTGGCACGCTTGGTCCAAGGATCAACGAGACCAATCAGCCGTCATATTAATACTTACTAGTAGTTAGAGCGATCTGCTCTAATCCTCTGTGTATAGTGAACTATTTCCACACTTTTGAAGGTATTCCCATCTTTAATTAACGCATCGGCTGCCTTCCTTTCGGAATCTTCAGCTCAAGCTGATTAATAGTAACCGTAAAAAGGGCCTAGCTTCTTTGTCGGAATGTCGGACCACGCAATACATTCAGCTCATAACCAAAACCATGGGAGTTATCGAACGTCCCTTTAGCGTATAGAATAGTATAAGGTATCGGCCTATAATCGAATAATTACCGTATCCTGATAGGAAAGTTCGCGAAAGATGATATGGCTGAAGGAATGGAAGATTCAGTCGTCCCCATAAAGCACAATGGCAGCCCATCCCTCCCTGTAATAAACCAGATTAGGTCCTGAAGAAAATCGTTTGTGCGCAGAGGGATGGGCGAGTGAAAAGAGGATTATCTCCAGAAATCGTGGTCGTTTTTGATCAGCTCGAAATGCTAGAACAAATAAGATTTGGCGTGGTGGTAAGTCAAGATGAGATGCAGATTAAACTTTTTTGTCTCGATCTTGCCCCCATTTATCGTGGTCCTATGAGTACCGAATGTTGTATAGACTCCTTTTGCTGTCTACCTTTCAATCAATACCTGAAACGTTCAAAGAGATTCGGTGAGAGGTGAAAACCCATTGCCTTGGTAGGGCAAATAGTTGCCTGGTGCCCTAGTGCCTAGTCGGGGAACCAGTAATAAAGCAGGGTTTTCAGGTTGGACTTCAGTTTTTCCATATTGAAAGTGACGTGCAGCTGTGTTTCGTTCTGGGACACAAAGAAGAAAGCAAAGATGGTCTAAGAAATCCTACAGCCGAAGCCACCTGCACCAAACAAAACATTTGGCTCGAAGAAGTGTGCATAAGGGATACGAACATCCCCTTGTAACATTTCGTGCCTGACCTGAGAAGTCTTCTCTTTCTCAAATTTCGAACTGCCTGTAAATAGCTCTCGAACATCATCACTATTGTAAGCATGCACCCTATCAGTCCTATGATTGGTCGATTGACACCGACCACCAATCACAGGCTCAGGCGTTGTATTATGAACACGCTTTCGATTGAACCATTGCAATATGTACGTAGCCTATACGGCTAACTACATTTTGTCTTTACAGTTTCTCTGAACCTCGATTTCATGTTCTAGGTGAATTCCAAGTTAACAGAAAAGTACATTTTTCAGCTTTACTTTCACTCCACTCATATTCAAAGTCCATTTGATTATTTACTGATTCATTCCGAATTTTCACTCATCATTCACACGAATGGTGAGAACAAAGCTCTGGCCGTGGTCCAACCAGGATATTCGCCACGTATTCCTCGCCCACCCAAGATCGCACAAGCGATTAGAAGCGCGCATAATACAGCACGAAGCCACGTTTCCTTTCGATCTGGAACTTATAACCTACAGCGGAAGTATAGGTTACTAGTTGGTTGTCATGGTGTGAAAAATGGCTGTAGCGAGCCACTGTGCTCAATCTATACTTTCATAAATGTTAGAGATAAAATTATAAAAATTTCTCGACCGAGACCACCGTGCTTAATCCCGATCATTCTATAGCAATTTCCCCAGCTGTCTCGTTTTTTTACCCAAGAACACAATTTGCCTCTTTGCCAACTGGTCATAGTGACGCCACGTTTTCTGATTGCCAGCTTTTTTTTTTTGAAATTTTTGAAATCTTTGAGGAACTAAGTATTACAGTAACGATACTGAATCCTTCACCCACTCATAGTGACTTACTCGTTCGCAGACTTCCTCAAAAGGGTGGCAATGCCGGCTCCAAGTTCGAAACACCCGATAAATCCCCGAATATTCCAGATATACGAATGAATAGCCTCTTCGGTATCGAATGAAGTTCATGTACGTGGCATATGCAGAAAGGATCTTTGAACAGCACATTTTTTTCAAAAAGTTGGCGAGTTATGGACAGTAGAGATAAAGAGCGCGGTGCCCGATTAGCACAAGTACGGGTTCACTTCCCGTCCGAGACAGAAGTTTTGTCCATAAATCGCCAACCTTGTGAGACTTTTGCATCACGTACTGAGGCAATAAAACAGCAATTAACAAAACATCAAGTCAAAACTTACTTTATTACTTCCATTTCTCATCTATCGTAATCTTTACCCTTAAATCCGATTCGTAGAAAGAACGATATAAGTCTGAGAAGCCTACCTTATCTCATTACGCGATTACGAACTCTGAGACAGGATTACGGATTAACAACTAACCATGGACGCAACTCATTAGATTAATGTTGGTGCTATTTCCAGTTCGTTATTTTGTTGGCAATTCGAAACCATTCTCGCTCTATGTCTCTGTTTTCACCCATTTCACCCATCCTACAGATGCACGCAAAAAATTCGGGTGTGGTTCAGTAGGATCGAAATTGTCGCATCGCGGCAAGAGCAACGCGACGCGACAACCTGGAAGGAATGCAGTAGAATGTGGCAGCAGTTAAAAAATACAGGAACAAAAGAACTAATAGCGGAATCATGCCTAAAACAATGATCGCATACCGATTGAGCTGTATGAAGAACGCTAGAGCTGGAATAACGACGAAGAGGATTATTTGCGACGGCCGCGTGCGGCGAATCGACTACCCAAAACCGATCCTACTGCCCATCTCCCGAAAAATTCGCTCTCTGACCTAACGACCCAGTGGAACTCGAACAACCATACTGGACCTACAACTAGACTTTCATTTCTTAACCTTCATAGTGACATCACGCCACGGCATACACGACACCACAGCTCTGGTAAATTACTTTGTATAATACTTGCATAACTTCACCTTTTGTATCACCTTTTCAGACAGTTCGTGAGCAAACCCCGCGGTTTTCATCGGAAATAAACGAAGCTTGCGTCGGTTGTTTGGAAATTCGTCAAAAGAGACGTGATTGCTCACAAATTTGTAACGTACTAAACACAAATAAACAAACAATCGGCATACATACACACATACATGCACATATATACACACGTACATATGCATCTGCACACACAC